GGGTTTGGTGGGTTTTGGTAACTAGAAAAGATTTTCTATTTTTATAGGTGGTCAGCAAAAACTTCTCAAAACAAGATACTTGAACCGCATTCCTAAGGATGGAATTATGTCCATCCCAAAATATGTGTTAGAATCTTAATCCTTATATCTGTGGATGTAATCCCATTTGGGAATAGGATTTTCTTTGTTATGTTAATAAAGCCGTGTTACTGTAGGATGTGTCTTAAATCTACTCAGTTCTGAGGTATAAAAAGAACAGATTAGGCCCAGAGAAGCAAGCTCAGAGGAAAAGATACGTGCTGTGTGGAAACAGCCAAGCAATCAAGGAGTGCTGCGTCTACAGAAGCTCAGACGTCTCTCCCAGAGACAACAGAGAGAAAGCTACCCTAGAGCTGGTGCCCTGAATTCAGACTTCTGGCCTCCTAAACCCTGAGAAAATAAATCTATGTTCTTTAAACTACCTGTTAGTGGTATTTTTGTTAGAGAAAAACTAGCAATCTCAGACACACGCAAATCAGTGTGAACAGGGCGAATTATTCAACATTGATGTTGAAGAGAATCTCTGTCTCTATGAACAAAATAAAATACAAGCAGACCCTCTCGTCCACACAAGACAGAAAACTAAATTGCGGGTGCATTAAGAATATAATACAAAAATAAATATTTATCAGAAAACCAAGAAGAAAAAAATACTTATATGATGTGGAAATGAAAAAGGTTTACTAACACACATCAATAAGAAAAACATATATAGAAGAGATAGGTAAATTTAACTTTATTACAATTTTTAGAACTTCACTGTAATGAGAGAAAATGTCAAACATGTCAGCAAAGCGAAGATGAACCATAGCTTGAGAGGAAACTATTTAAATGGGTATAATCAACAAAAGATTGGTATGTAGCATGTTAGAATAATGAAGAAAGAGAGAGAGAGAAAAAAACCCGTAGTGTGAGGGTGGGGACAAAAGTTGTGAATGAGAAAATCATAAAAGTTGAAACTCAAAGTATAATTAATTAATATGTGAAAAGATGCTCACTTTTGCTGGAAATTAGGAAATATTTTTATTATATAGTGAAATCATTTCAAATTTAACAGGTTGGTATAGATTTTTAAAAGTCTGATAATGTATTGATGTCAGCAATAGAAGTAGATTAAAGGAAGACATACGCACTGTTGGTGAAATAGTAATAAGAGTAAAATCAAACATAAGCCTTCTTTACAAATTATCCTTCTAAACAAATTATTGCTATTTACCTTAAGAGATTCTTGTTGAGATTCACCAGAAGGCATCTAAAAAATGTTTGTTATAGAATTCTAGAATTCTTTAACAAGGGGAAAAAAATTAAAAAATACATTAACCATAAATTCAAGTACTTGGGTAACTTGTGGTATATTCAGATAATGACATTTGGTGCAATTATTAACATTATTGATCTTGATCTGCCTTCCTCAACATGAATAATTCCTGCAAAAATTATGTTAAGTGAAAAAGATATTGATATCATCTCAACAGATCAATAAAAATGTAGATTAATGTATTTTTATATCTTTACACATATGCATACTCTCGTGTGTGTGTGTGTGTGCGTGTGTGTGTGTGTGTGTGTGTGTGTCCTTCATGGCTTGATGAGACGGATACACACCAGCTTCTCTCCTCAGAGAAGAGCATGTAATCATGTTTCTCAGGACAAAAGTAACTTTATATTTTTGATGATTATGAAAAAGGCCTCAAAAATATGTAAATTATAACTACTTATTAAATATTTGGAGCATGAATTTTTTAAATTACTGACAATTATTTTCTATATATTTAAAACTATGAACAAGAAACACCTCCAACAAAATTAGAATAGTTTGCTAATTACTTTTTATGTTTGTACACTAATATATTGTTTATCCATTTAAATATGTAGGCATAATTTTAATCACATTGAATAAGTTTATAGCATTATTTGAACTGTGTCTTCCCTAGAAGTGCAATTTTATAACAATTATTAAATTGAAAAATTTAAAAAAATTAACAAATACTAATCATTGTTGGCTACGAGTTGTGTAAAGATAGCTCAGAAGTGCTACAAAACTCTTAAGTTTTACTTTCTAACATCAGTATGTATTGCAAATACATCTTATAATATCAAGGAATTGTGTGAACTGTTATTCATAGTAGAGGATACAAATCTTAATATGTTTCCATTTCCTAAAAGTTTCCCATGCTCTTTGTTTAGACCACTGGATTGGATTTAGAAATAGTTGTTATCATCTTTTCAAAGAATCCAAAACCTGGTCAGAAAGCTATGCTGCCTGTAAAGAACTGAATTCCCGTCTTATGAAGATACATATCAAGGAAGAGCTGGTAGGGAAGATTCTTCTGCTATAAATATATACAATAACTGTATTTGGTTTGGAAGCATCAATGATTAACACCATAATATGGGAAACCTTGAAGATTCCCAACAGCGTGTGATATTTTCTTACTTTGACTTGACTTTCTTAGAAAGAAATTAGAGAAACATACTCATTTGACTAGTCAATGCCACAAACAAACCAAACTAACAAATGAGAAGATAACCTGAGAAAGAACCTATCTATACTCAGGGACATGGATAAGCCCTTGGGAGAACACCAGCCCTTGAGTCAGGAAGGAGTAGACTATAAGGTACACATACTTGTAGTGTATGATTTTCTTTCCCAGTAGAAACTCTTAACATTGTTTGGAATGGAAGGATGGATAGATCTCAAAATGAACAAAACTGATGGGCCCTTGGTATGGCAAGATGGCACACAAATGAACCAAAGCCTGTAAGTACAGTGTTTGGACAACCCTTTCATTATC